ATGAAGAACACATTCCCGAGTGCTACTTGGTGGGCATTCCCTTCCTGCAAAACACAGCGATAAAGTAATCACTGCCAGTTCCTTCCTGACAATAGTGCCCTTCTCAGGTCGTCTCGAGGTGGAAGTGCAGAGGTCATTTCTTTCGCTTTCTGTGTTTCCAGTGTCTATGTCAGGCAAAGAATGGTGAAAATTTTAATTTGTTATAATAATTAAAAGGACAATAGTCATTGTATTTTATATAGTTCAAAAGCATTTGTTTTTTAATGTTTTGGTCATGCCATTTCCTACTTAAAAACTAAATATCATTTGACTCCTTGGTGATTTTCTATTGCCAAGTAAAAATATCTTTTCCTTTATCATTTAAAAAATTCAAGCAGAAATTACTGTGGCTATCTTCTTCAATATCTTATTTTGTTTTGTTTTGTCTTTAAACCACTGAGTAACTGTAAGGAGAACTCTTTGCATGTGCAAAAGGGACTTTCAGTATTAGAGCACAGTCAGTCAGCCAGGTCAGCCAGACTGAAATGAGGGAACCAAACTGCTGGAGTCCACCTTTCTGTCTTCTTTGACAGCTGAATATAGATTGTAGTATATTCAGGCTATCAAAAATAGAAGAATTGTGGAGCTGCATGGCAAGGTAAGAAGTTTGGTGAAGATGCACATGGGCCCCTGTTCGTATAAACTGTATGGTGTAGGTAGGAGAGAAGTTTATTCTTAGAGGGGTCTTGCCATGGAGCTGTTAGGAGTCCGAGTTTGATCCCACTTCTATCATGTGTGTGTGGTATTGGGCTGTTATGTAACTTTTTGTGACTCAGTTTTTCCACCTGTAAAAAAGTCACATAAAATTTCTTGAACAGTGCTGTGCACATTGTAATTGTATTTATTGGTTATCTACCAATGTGTAACAAGTTACCCCCCAAACCTGATGACTTAAAACAGCAAATATTTCTTATCTCACAGTTTCTGGGAGTAGGCGTCAGGGCGCACTTTGGGTGGGTGTCTCTGGTTCCAGGCCTTTTGTGAGGCTGTGGTCAAACACGTTTGAAGAACGGCCAAGCTCACTCACATGAAACTGGTAGACCGTGGGGGCCCCTCACAGCCTGGTAGTCGGCTCCCCTCATAGTGACTAATCCAGGAGAAAATGTAAGAGGGAACCCATGATGGAAGCCACAGTCTTTTTGTAACCCAGTCTTGGCAGTGACATCTCATTACCTTTTCTGCACCCTGTTTGCTAGATGCAAGTTAGGAACTTCAGTCTGCACTCAAGGAGAGAGGACTAGACTAGGGCATGAATACCAAGAGGTGGGGTCACTGGGAGCCATCTTAGAGGCTGCCTCTGACAACTCGTGCTTTAACTTACATCTACTACTCATGTGTCTGTGAATTCCAAACCTACATATCCATCTATCTGATATCTCTGTAGAGTGTGTAACAGGCATCTTAAACTTAACATGGAAAAATGGAGCTCCCTGATACCTACTTCTCCCCTAGTCTTCTCCAACTTGGTGAATGGCAGCTCCTTTTTTAGACATGATAGCATCAAAAACTTGGAGGCATACTTTTTAATGCTTTTCTTTCTCTTTACCACTTGTCAACTTAACTTTGAAAATACACCCAGCATCTTAACCAGCTCTCAGTACCTCTCCCCCGCACTGTCACCACCTTTGTTCACGTTTTTTGCAGAAGCGTGATGAGCTCTGTTTCCAACCTTGTCCAGGCCATTCTTCACTCAGCAGGCACAGTTATCCCCCAGACACCAGGCAGGCCATTCCACTACTCTGTTCAAAATTCTCTAGAGCCTGCTTGTTTTACTGAAGAGTAAAAAGCCAGAGCCTTTACAATGGTTTACAAGGCCTTTCATGATCCTAAAATTATTTTTCTCTATTTTGTATAAAATGATGTATATATGCAGTATAATAAATAATATGTATGGTGGCATAAACCCATATTTACATGTTTATTTAGTTTATTGAGAATTTACTTTCTGAGTGGTATAAGACAGTGATCTGAATCTTTCCAGACGAGGAGCTAGTTTTCCTAGCATTGCGTGTTGAGTAGAGCACTTCTCCCTCGCCGGGGTGATGCCCTGCCGTGGGCCTGTTTGTCTGTCCTGTGCACCCTGCACTTGATGTTTGGTTTCAGAGTACAGATATACTTAATGGATCATATAAGACACAGTGGTGTTTTTATAGATTTTATTTGATGTGATATACTCAAATACATATAAAAACAATTTGAATTTTATAATTGTGAATTATGGGAAATATTTTCTGTCCCTTTGTTTGAGAGATAAAGAACTAATTCTTCTCAGTAGATTGTGACTAATATTTAAAAATCCAGTTAGAGGTAAAACTAAAACTAAAACAAAGAATATCTCATGATTTTTAGTCCATTGTTTCTGACATATGTTGATATACTGTACTTTGCTACTGCTGCTTATACCTGTTCAGAAGATTATCACAGAAATGCTTATAAAATGTAAAAACCCTGTAAGGATATCATCTAGCGTGACATCCCCGCTTATATGGTGACTCCTAGTGTTCAGGCCCATCTGCCAATGTGGCAGGCCCCTGGTGTTCCCGTCTCCTTTCTGGACCTTTGGTCTTATCTCTATTTATAACTTCGACTGGCAGACACGAATGGGTAGGCGAAGGAAAGTGAATTGAAGCCAGTTTGTTTTGTTGGTTATGAGCACTGCTGCTGAAAAGTTTGCCGAGGAAGGGAAGTATATTGAAATTCTTGCTTAAAATGAGGTGTGTAGAATTTTCAGTGGTTTCCTTTTGATAAAACGTTGTCTCATTTTTGTGGAACTATGTGTAATTGAGGGTCAACTACAAATCACAAAATGAATCACTTTCAAGTCCTTCATCTCTACAGGCATTAGAATGGAAAATCTTGTCACTTAGATGAGTTCTTATTTTTTTTCCCTCCTCTACAAATAGTGTAAGCCTTGCTCCTCTGGGCATCAAACTTTGGCAGCCAGTGAAGGGCCCTGAGCTAAAAATGGAGCCATTCTGCTTCTCCCAGATAGATTTTGCTCCACTTGGTGACAAGAATATAATCCAAAGATGAATTTCTTTCTTTAGGGCAAAAACAAAACAGGAAAAGAGAGAAAGAGTTTTCAATACTATGCAGAAGTATTGTGCTTCTGGTAAACTTCTCAGACCAACACCACATTCCATTCTGTTCAACGACATTATGTCCAGTAAGAGTCACTGAGCATAAGCGATTAAACCCAGAGTCTAGTCAAGGCACAGATTAACTTGCTGTGTGACTTCAGGAGGTCCATCAACCCCTCTGGGATACAGCTTTATTTGCGGAAGAATTTGGGACTAGATGACAAAGACCCTTCCTATTGTAGAATAGTAAGATAACAGGTAACATAGAAAAGAAATGCAGCTACTTATTTTCGGTAAAACAAGGTTGATACCAGCCAATAAGTCACAGTGGGCTTGCTTAAATCCTCCTCCACTCTCCAAATTCTGTTTTTACCAAAACGGTAAACTAAAAACAGTTTGTCATGCTTTGAACTTCCTGGCTGATGTTGATTCTATCATTATGTTACTGTTACACATTTGAGTGGGAGCTGAGCTACTTTTCATGAGAAGTGCTTAGACAACTAATAAAATCGTTATAAACCCCCTCCCCCCACTTTCGGTGGGTATTGATAGCATCAAGGAACGAAAAAAGACTGCCATTTTTACGCAGTCGCTCTTCCAGCCAGACTGAAAATGTAATGGCCTTAATCTCAACTCACTTGTTTAAACATTAACCAAAAGCAGCTTTCTCCACCTCAAAAGTTTTAAGTGCCTACGTGAACTTAACCACAGATATAGACAACTCCTCAAAGGCCTTCTAAAACTTGTTGAGTATTATATAAAGTAGAAGCTTCAGTAGCATTTCAAGGAATTGATTATTCTCACAGCAACCTAGTGAGGCATAAAAGCATACCTTCTGTAACAGCTCAGTCATCTGAGGATGTGATCCTTGGTGACTGCCTCACGACCTTGGAGATGGTTACAGAGCTTAGAGTCACAAATAGGAAGCAGTCCCATAGTTACAGAGCTGAGTGACGGCCTTCCGAAGGGCTTTCTAAATAGATGAGGAAGAGCTCAAAATAGGCTAAAAAGAGGATGCAAACATCTTTTGAAGGCCTTTTCCAGGCTCTCAAATGGCCATTGTCAAAAAACAAACATTGGAGTGGATTTGACTAAGCATCAGAAGCTAAAACAGTCCCCAGTGACAAGTGAGTGTTTTTTAAGCTCATGAGGCAGAAGAGAACTTTTCAGAGCAGCCTTGTCACATACAGTTCTAATGTGTAGGCTTTCTCAGCTGCTTTGAGTAGGGGTAAAGAGGCATGCAAATTTTAACCATTCGTTTCAGAGTCGGTGTATTAAGTAAATGCTGCTTTCCAGTTTGGGTGGAGAAGGTCTTTCTCAAGATTTATGAAGAGTCAGAACGAAAACCCATCAATTACTTGTTTGTAGTGCAAAATGGAAAATTTCTTGTCTTGTGTACTCTATTTGTTTCATCCAATCCCAATAGCGCTTTATTTAAAAATATTTATAATAGTTCAGTTAATCTGAGTTGAGTGGGCAGAATCAGATGGATCTTAATTTGAATTGAAACTTTCTCCAGTTTCTACCATCAGTAAACTGCATTTCAGTGTCTTCTATTATTTAAACATAATGAATCTATTATTTATTTCAATTAGTTAACTTGAAATTTTGCAAGCACATTGCCACTCGTGTGTATTATAATTTTCTAGGTGCAGTACCTACCCAGAAGTTGCTTTGTTTCTTCTCCTTGCCCCCGTCCAGTATTTTAGGGTACCATATGTAGATTGCTTGAGTGATAGCTTCGTTCTGGTAATTACCACGCTTGTTTGAGGTTATAAAATATACATCTGACAAAAGCCAGGGATTTCCCCCTGAATATCAACTGACTGCTTAAAGTGGCATTTTCATTCTGACTTGGTGTTTTGTTTTGTCTTACTGTAGCATATCGGAGCAAAATGAAAGAGTTTATTTTGAGGCCTCCAAAGTAGTGCTGCTACAGACCATGAGCAAGAGAGAAAGCGTGGACTTCAGCCTGCATGAATGGTCTTGAAACACAAGTGGTTCTGGGTAAGTCACTTGAAGGACTTGGCATTCATTAGCCTTAAATTTCATCAGTCATCATTTATTTGGTGCCCCAGGACATCTTACTCAAGTGCATGGCTATTTCTCTACAAACCAAGCAACAGGATGTTAGAGAAAACTTTGCTCTAGTGATGGAGAGCAACTAAATTTACTGAGTTGTGTTTGTTCTCACATGTGCAGAATAACAGGATCTGAGTAGAATGCATTTGCCATTAGAAAAAGACCAAAAAGAGAAAAAAACACAAACAACTCACTGCATTTCTAGATACTTCATTTTAGCTGAGAGCCTGAGGTATTTATCATGTAAGAGACAGCAAGTTCGGTCTGTTGGCACGTTGGTGATCCAGTAGTGAAATATTGGGGTGGGCAAAGGTGAGAGGCCCAAATCGAGAGTTTCCAAGTCCTATTCAACAAATGTTTATTGAGTCCCTTTTAACTAAACGCAGTACCCTGAATAATAATCTCGCTTTGGAGTAAAATTTACATGTTTCAAACTATAAATAAACAATTCTAAACTACACACAAAAATAATGTGGACTTCCAAGAAAGCTTTGTCAGCCTAGCTCATTATATTTTTTGGAAACAAAAGTCCTCAGATGGAATTCCAATTCTTCTCACCTATTCTGGTGACCTCAGACAATTTACTCATCCCCTTGGAATGAGTCACCTCTAAAAACACCAGGACATGCCTCTATCACCATGGTCATATGCAAATTTGAAATTCCACGGTCCACTCTAGTGAAATTCCTTAAATAATTATGCCACTTGATTTTTGCTCAACAGAATTTATTGTGTGCCCTTGGCAGGTCATCATTTGCAGAGGGGCTTATTCGATCACCCAGCGTGGAGGAAAGGGTCAGGCAGCTGGAGGTCCCTTCAGCCTGCTTGCACTGATCTTATGAACCAGTCCTTTGGTCAAGCAAGCCTTGCACTGTGTGGTCGATCACCTGTTACTTGTAGCATAGTGTTATATGAATATAGTATTCAAATATGTGGGATAGGCTTCTTTTGAATTATTGTCCTTTCTTTTTCTGTTGGTGACCTTTTTCCTTCTGTGTTTGCTCTCACTATGTTATGGGTTACCTGCCAGTCCATAAGCCCCGCAGAGCCCCAAACCTTGTTTTACACTGATCGTCATTTATTTTCCTTTCTTACTAAGCATCCATTTTCTGAAGCAGTGCTGTGAATGGCACTTTAAATGATGCTCAGATGTCACTCTTGTTAGCAGTGGGCTGTTTGCCTCAAAGTGGTGCATTATTTGGGTTTCATAACAGCATTTTTTTCTCTTACAAATGTTAAATTATGAAGTGCAGGAAACCACATGAATGCAGCAGAATGAAAACGCAAATGGTGTTACCTGGAAATGCCAGTTTTCTGATTCTCCTGGTAACACTATCCTCCCTGCAGTCAATGCATGGAGCCTCTCTACCTGTTCATAGTGGGCTTCTCTCCCGTATCTTCATCTTCACTTATGCTATATGGTGTAGTCACCCTGTCATGCTGAATCGGGAGGTCTGGTTAAGGTGATTACATGAGGCCCTCTCCTCCTATCCAAGTTCCTCTTGTCTACTAAGCCTGGCTCTCGTTCACAAAGTCTTCCCTGAATGCTCAAGACTTCACTGCCCACCTGTCCTTATGAACTCCCATAACATATGGAGCCAGCATCATAAAAGGGTATATGGCTCTGTATTGCTTTATGGGTGGCTGGCATCACTCTGTCTGGGTTGCAGACTGCTGGAGGGTAGGAGGCTGATCATTGCCCAGTGTTACTCAAAAGTGGTCTAGCTCCAGGTCCTCCTGATTAGAATCACCTGGATGTATGCATTCAAGTTGCAGATTCAGCAATACCGGGCTTGATGAGTCAGAGTCGCTGGGGATGTTGAGCCCAAGAAACTCATCAACCACAGATATCTCTTTTGCACACTGAGGTTTGCTTAACAACTGTCTGAGTCTGCTTCTTCACCTTCCTTGTTGCCTCCCCACCCACAGCATAGGGCCTAGGTCTCAGCACATTCTAGGTGCCCAGGAAATATTTTCTTGTTGATCTGAGCAGCATCAAACCATGATGGTTGTATTCACTCTTCAATTGCCTCACCTTTCATTCAGGTTGTCGAGTCAGCATATTCTCTGAACCCTTAAAAACCCCATCTTGTCTAAATATGTAGTGTTCCCCTAGGTCCAAGACTCTTTCATGTCTCTTTCTCTTCGATGACTGGCTCTGACTGTCCTCAGTAATGGCGTAGTCCAAGCCTAAGGCCCATAGAGCAGAAAGAGCAGGTACGGAGAGCTTGTCTGGAGCAGCCGGACAGGAGACACATCTGAGGGTGGCAGCAGCACTGTGGTAACCTCAAAGCTCTATCCTTGGTTCCCAAAGCCACACCTGCTGCCCTTGGCAAATTGTTTGAATGGTATTTCTTTCAACTGTTAGGGTTCACAGGTGGTCAATTTTGGTGGCAGCAGAGCGGTTCCATTGTGGAAAGGGATAAAGTTAAGTTTTACTGGGCACACATCAAAGCACCCATGGGGCAGTGGCAGATTCAGGATTTGACCCTGATGTTAGCAGGCTGCAGTGGTGACACGTGGCTCCCTCCTGCCCTCCCCCACAAAGGGCAAGCCAGGCGGATTTGCAGGGTGTTGTTGCCTGTGGTGCAACTCCTGAATGCTCTTGCTGGTGGGCACAGCCCTGGTAGTAGATACGACAGTTCAAGCTAGAAAGCAAAGAGAAGAACTCACAGAAGTCTAGCCAGCCTGTAAAGGAACAAGTGGGGTAATCTGGAAATTTATCAGCTGTTGATGTAACCATGGCCAAATGCATTTGACCTTATTTTTGCAACTGTTTTTTTGACTCTTGCTTCTAAAACAGTAAGTTTTACTTAGAGCAGTTGTGCCGATCCTGAATTAAGTGTGAGGTAAAAGGCACATTTATGCAGTGACAGGAAAGCATCTTCTGGGTCTGCATCAAATTTTGGTGATTGGAGGTAGCAGAAAGGTGTAACCGAGTGAATTGGGTTTGAGCTTTTCCTTATGTTCCCAGCTAAGAGAAGGAAAAATTGCACGGTTCCCAAAGCAGTGTTAAGGGCAAAAAAGGCTTTTTAGTATGTGCTTCATGGAGACCTGACTAGGTTTTCCTCTGCATAGTTTCTTCCAGTCAGGTGGGTGGGTAGAGGGTCGTGTGTGACGCAGGAGGCAGGTGCCCAGGCATTCGGCTGTGGGAGAGAAAGGTACAGCCATTTTTTTAAATTAATTTATTGTTGTTCAATTACAGTTGTCTGCATTTCCCCCCAACTCCCCCACTCCACCCCAGCCAATACCACCTCCCTCCCTTGGGTACAGTTATTGATATGTGTCTTTGAGGCTTTGTTAAAGGCTTTAAGGTAGAGGAATAACGAGGGACAACATTCAAGAAATTAGAAAGCACATAATTTTAGCAAAATACCAGATGCTGGCATTGCTTTTCTGGAGGTCTTTAGCGGTGCATGGAATGTTTTCTTAGAAGTAGCCATCCGTGGTTGGCAGAGAGAAAAATTGGCTGTAAGAGAGCATTTGTCTGGTTAGAAACTATGTCACTAGTGCTGTTTACCATGAGGCATCCTTGAGACCTGCAGGGTTTTCAAATAGTCACTTAAATTATAGGCGCTGTTTTTGGAAAGCAGATATAAGTGAGAAAAGAGCTAGTCCTGTATCTTCCAGGAAGACCATCATTAGAAAGCTCTTTAAGTACTTTCTAGCTTAGAGGAGTCAGATACCTATCATGTACCTAAGCCTGTCTTCCGTAAAGCAGTACCAAGCATGCCTTCTGTGAAATGCGTTATAACTCGCTCTTCTTGCTGATGCTATCATGGGCTAATAATTGCATCAGTCCTTCAGAGGAGCCGTGTGGTTTGGTATAACTGTGAGTAAAACCACACTGGTTCAGGAAATGCAGTGCATTGTCTTAAAACAGGCATCATCAAAACAGATGTTGATTTACTTGGAAGGTACCTTTCCTTGATGACAACTTGAGAGCTTTGAAGGGAGGTGATTGCCGTGCATCAAAGTAAATTAGAATTGCGCTACCGTTTTTGTACACTGGGTGAAAACTGAAAGAAATTCGCCAGGGTTGGCTACTGAACATGCTCTCCCCTAAGGCACCATTACATTACTGCATCGTTATCAATTCTGCTCTAGTGACTAACTTGCTCTCTCTTGTTCTCCTGAGTTAAGATCATTGGCTTCCAACTTCCTCCCAGAAGGCTTTAGTTGGTTATCATGTAGGTGCCTTCAACCTGGGGCCAACCCTGTGCTGTCATTCTCCTGTCTTCCTTTACGGGTCCCTTATTTACAGAAACAGGATCAGCTGGACACTACCTTCTCTTCCTGTGTAGTTCATCCCTTGCCCGCGTGCTGTGGTTTTACCTGTCACATACTTGATTCTACTCACTCTTCTTCCATCCCTTGCCCTTGTCCTGTCTGTCAGCCCATTAGATCACTTGCTTGGACTACTGCAGCCACTTCCAAAAGAAGCTGCTTGCTTTACGCCTTTCCTTCCTGTGTTCCATTCTGTATTGAGAATTATTTTCCTAAAGAAAGGGTATGGTTGAATTATTACCATTCCTGAAAAACCTTCATCGCATATGGAGGTATGGAAAAGTGTTTCTAATACAATGCTTAGTATAAAACTCAGACTTCAAAATTGTATATATACATTGAGTGAAAAGTGACAGTGAAAATGTATGCCTGTCAACAATGACTAGAAGTAAATAAAGCAAAAATGAAGATGTTTGTAGTATTAAGAGTGATTAGTACTTCTTTTGAAAAAATAATACACAATTGTTATTTTCTATAGTAATGAGTGAATAAGATGAAGTGAAAAGAAAAATTGAAAGGATTTTGTTAGATTTCCCTTCTCTGTGACGTCAAATGTAATCTGCATTGCCTCGCGCTCAAGACCCTGAGTTCGTTATCAGCTTACCACTTAAATCTCATCTCCCGTCCCCCCGCTGTCT